CTGAGGTTGAATAGGGGCTCTCAAAAGAGATACGCTTGCTTTCTAATAGGATTAAACAAACCATGTAATTCTATGGTATGTGAACTATGCCAATAAAACTGCTACTAAAATTTTAAAAATACTTTTAAAAAAGATACACATTCACTGCCATCGAGTCAATTCCAACTCATAATGAACCTATAGGACAGGGTAGGACCGCCCCCTGTAGGTTTATAAGACTGTAACTTTTTTTTTTTAATCATTTTTGGGGGGCTTGTACAACTCTTATCACAATCCATACATACACCCACTGTGTCAAGCACATGTGTTCATTTGTTGCCATCATCATTCTCAAAACATTTGCTTTCTACTAGAGCCCTTGGTATCAGCTTCCCATTCCCTCCCTGTTCCCCACTTCTCTGACGAACCCTTGATAATTTATAAATGATTATTATTTTGTCATGTCTTACACTGTCTGACGTCTCCCTTCACCCACTTTTTTGTTGTCCATCCTCAAGGGAGGAGGTTATATGTAGATCCTTGTGATTTGGTGCCCCTTTCTACTCCACCTTCCCTCTACCCTCCTGGTATTGCCACTCTCCTGAGGGGTTCATCTGTCCTGGATTCCCTGTGTTTGCAGTTCCAATCTGTACCACTGTACATGCTCTGGTCTAGCCAGATTTGTTAGGTAGAATTGGGATCATGATAGTGGGGGGGCAGGAAGTATTAAAAAACTAGAGGAAAGTTGTTATGTTTCATTGTTGCTACCCTGCAACCTGACTGGCTCGTCAACTCCCCGCGACCCTTCTGCAAGGGGATGTCCAGTTGCCTAGAGATGGATCTTGGGTCTCCACTCCGCACTTCCCCCTCATTCACAATGATATGATTTTTTGTTCTTTGATGCCTGATACCTGATCCCATCGACACCTCATGATCACACAGGCTGGTGAGCTTCTTCCATGTGGGCTTTGTTGCTTCTCAGCTAGATGGTTGCTTGTTTATCTTCAAGCCTTTAAGACCCCAGACACTATATCTTTTCATAGCCAAGCACCATCAGCTTTCTTGACCACATTTGCTTATTCACCCACTTGTCTTCAGCGATTATGTCAGGAAGGTGAGCATAATGGAATGCCAGTTTGATACAACAAAGTGTTCTTGCATTGAGGGAGTACTTGAGTGGAGGCCCAATGTCCATCTGCTACCTTAATACTAAATGTATAAATATATGCTCATAGATCTATTTCCCCATCACCATATATAAATATATTGACATATGTATATGCCTATATTTAGACCTCTGTAATGCTTCCTCCCAACCCCCCACTATCATGATCCCAATTCTACCTTATAAATCTGGCTAAACCAGAACATGTACACTGGTACAGATAAGAGCTTGAAACACAGGGATTTCAGGACAGATAAACACTTCAGGACCTCACGGGAGTAGCCATACCAGAAGGGTAGGGGAAGCGGGAGGGGGGATGAGGGAGAAAGGATCACAATCAACATATGCCCCTCTTCTAGGGGGACAGTCAATGGAAAAGCGAGTGAAGGGAACAATGGTTGGTATAAACATGAAAAAAAAATTATAAATTATCAAGGGAGGAGAAAAATGAGGAGCTGATACCAAGGGCTCAAGTAAAAAGAAAATGTTTTGAAAAAGATGATGGCAACATATATACAGATGCGCTTGACACAACGGATATATGTATGGATTGTGATTAGAGCTGCAAGCGACCTCAATAAAATTTTTTTAAAAGAAAAGAAATATAGGAAACAATTTACAGTCTCAAAAAAAAGCTCAAATGTCCAACACTACAATAATAATTCATGTGATGCAGAAATAGAACAGAAGGCTAATTAGCCATCTTAATCAATAACAGCTAAACTTGTCACACATAATATGAACGTATATATTAAAACAGACAGAACCAAGAAAAACCACAACACACAAAATAGACTGTATACAATGATTACAGCTTGCTAATCATGTACCTAAGTTAATCAGCAAAGATAAGAAATAAATGTGAAAGACTCTAATCACATTAAATTTTAATTAAGGTCATTTTCATAATAAATTTGCTTAGGTTCATATAAAAAGCATAGATAAGGTAACTTTTCTAAAACGGAGCAATTTTAAAGAAAGAAAGGTTTTTAAAAGTGAGGTTTCCTAATATTTATCTAGAAACACACACACACCCACACACACACCATTTCTATAGAGTTCAGCACAACTAAGAATGACCTTACAGGACCGAGTGGAAGTGCTCACTGTTAATCTTCCCTGAAGCAGATTTGCAACATCTTTCTCCAGCAGAGCAGCTGGGGTGGGGATGGGGGTTTAGAACCAATGACCTTTAAGTTAGCAGCCTCACCCCACCTGGGCTCCTTCTATCTAGAATGCCCGTCCACCATCTCTTTGCCATTGGAAAGTTCATCAGTACACATAGTAGCGATTTTCTTAGGTTTATTCCATTTAAATCCTTGAGGCTGGTCTTACGAGGATTGTAATTTGACCCTGTGGGAAAAGTCAGTGGGCAGGTGACTCCTATAACCCAATATGAGTAAAAACATTGAGCAGCATCCAAAACCTTCTTCAAAGCCTGTAAATCTAGAGCGTTGTTGCCCAACAAATTTCAGCCACTGGTAACACACACCATCAGACTTGCCCAGAGCCACCCTCTCCCCTACTCCCCCCTTCCTCAGTGCACAAGGGAACGCTGCTGGCTGCCTGCTTTTCCCCTCTCACAACATGTGCCCTCAACGAGGGCAGGCTTCCCACTTTTCTATCACTCGCTATTAAAAATAATAGTAATAATTAAAATCTCACTGCCGCTGAGTCAATTCTGACTCAGCGTGACTGTGTAGGACAGAGGAGAACTGCCCCTTAGGGCTTCCAAGACTGGAAATCTTTTCAGGTGGGAACAGCCTCATATTTGTTTCTCCTGAGCAGCATCTGGTCATTTTGAATGGCTGCCTTTGTAGTCCGCAGCCCAAGACATAACCCACTCTGCTGCCAGGGCTCCTTCTGATAACATTAGATGGTGCCATATCAATTTTTAGTATTTAAATATGATTGGATGCTTACTTCAGTATTCATATCAAAAATATCAAAATTCATCAATGCAACCACTGATGAACTTGCAAAACGTGGCCTCCATTGTCTGGTGGCACTGCGTGATGAGTGTTTCCGGACCATCAACACAGGCTTGGGACCCACTTGGCTGACCCCGGGGTGTGCTGCTTCTCCTTTGCCTCAGAATCCATACGCATGAGTTGATATTGCCCCGGAAACAGCACTGTTCTAGATGAACTCTTAAGGTACATACAAAATGACTTTGGCAAATCATTGAGCCCCAATTCCAGATGAATCAAGATTCTTTTAAAGTGCTACATAGAAAAAAATAATGTACATGTACTTTAATTCCCCCACATTTATGGTACATTGAGTTTCCTTGACCCTCTGTTTTAGCCTTAAAAGCTAGCGGTTTTGTTGCTAATTGTATCCCTTTACTTGTACTCCCTGAATCCACATGCAGAGCTAAAAAACAAAACCATCACCAAGGATAAAGTCATTACCAAGACAATAAACTATTTGTGTGAGGAACAGATGATAGAGTGAATGCAAGCAACATAAGTCTGACATTGACCAGCCAAAGCATTATAACAATAAAAATTTTAAAAATCCTTTCTAAAGATTATACTTTTATAAAAGAAAAAAATGCATGATTTGTAATATTTAAAACTAAATAAATCTCTTTCTTGAGCTTTGCTTCAAAAGAATATGGAGGATACTTTTTTTAGAGAGAAAAATAACTATGGGAGGAGAAATAAAATGGAGGGGTGGGTGAACA